CTAACCCTAATTCCTAACCTTAACCCTAATTCTTAACCCTAACCCTAATTTCTAACCCAAACTCTAAATCTAATTCCTAACCCTAACCCTAATTCTTACCCCTAACCCTAATTCCTAACCCTAACCACTTTCCCTCCCTAACACTAAACCTAACCCTAACCCTAACCCTAACCCTAACCCTAACCCTAACTGTAACCCCCTCTTCATTCCCCCGTGTGCACACTCTCTCTCTCTGGAGCCCCCGTACCCCTCTTTCCTCTCTCATCTCTCAAGGAGCTTGTATCTCAGTCTGACCTGTGGGCTCTCTCTCCCCCTTAGGCTCCACTTGCTGTCACTTGCTCCCAAGCAGCTAAAGTTTTCCTCATCTTAGGCTCCATTCTATTCACCTCTGGACTATGGTGGTGTCCTGTTAAGGGAACAGCATCTAGGAATTCCAGGCAGGACCCTCCGGCAGTTCCAGGGAGGGATGTGTATTTCTCTGGAAAGACCAAACACGTCTCACAGCCTTGGGATGCCGATGCCCGCAGCTCTGAGCTCCTGTGGAATTGGAGCGGTGACCAGGAAGAGCGCTCTGCTCTGCCAGTGCCCTCCCCAGTGCCAATCCTCACTGCCCGGCGCACGTTTGAGAACATGTCGTGTGTGTGGAGGCGGGAATGGCAGTCAGTATCTCTCAAACTAGGATGGAGATGTGAAGGGACAGTGGGGGGGGGGGCCCACTTGAGAGCAGGAGATCCTGGTTAGGAGCCAGCGCATGGCTTCCTGGGAATAGCTGAGTCATTGCCAAGGGCAGTCGTCTGTATTCAGGGCCTGATGCTGACATGTACACTGTCCCTCTGTACTCCCTCTATCCTCTCAATGCCCCGACCCTTCCATTCATAAAGGTACAGGTGTTCCTCCTGCAAGGCATTGTGGGACAGGGTGCCCAGGGCAGTGTCACCTGTCCCATTAGCCTCCGGGTTGAGCCTACAGAGAGAGAAAAACACATAGTCCAAGGGACAAGGCCCATGAGTCCGCAGCTCAGTGAGTGGTCCTGGAGGGAGGAGAAAGCTTTCAGCACATGGAGCAGCTTCCATGCTCCCAAGAAACCACTCGAGAGATTAAAAATAATAATCCATTTTACCTCCCTAACCCCCAAACCCCCAGTTTATAGGTGGGTTCAATTTAAATCTGAGGACAGGGTAATAAAGTATTATTTTTTCATGTAGAGAGAGCTTTATGTTTATCATCCATCTATATTCCCTTTTATAGTCCACTAGAGGCCCGGTGCACAAAATTCATGCACGGGGGCAGGGGGGTCCCTCAGCCCAGCCTGCACCCTCTCCAATCTGGGACCCCTCGGGGGATATCTTGACTGCCAGTTTAGACCTGATCAGACATCCCTCTTGCAATCCGGAATTGCTGGCTTTTTACCGCTCACCTGCCTGCCTGCCTGATCACCCCTAACCACCTCTGCTTGCCAGCCTGATGCCCCTAACTGCCCTCCCCTGCCGGCCTGATCGCCCCCTAACTGCTCTTCCCCACTGGCCTGATCACCCCCTAACTGCCCTCCCCTGCCTGCCTGATCGCCCCCTAACTGCCCTCCCCTGCTGGCCTGATCGCCCCCTAACTGCTCTTCCCCGCTGGCCTGATTGCCCCCTAACAGCCCTCCCCTGCTGGCCTGATCACCCCCTAACTGCTCTTCCCCGCTGGCCTGATTGCCTCTAACCACCTCTGCCTCGGCACCTCCCACCGTGGCTTTGTCCAGAAGGACGTCCAGAAGATGTCCGGTCTAATTAGCATATTACCCTTTTATGAGAATAGATTTGCAGGCCAATCTGTATTCATGGCTGTTTTAAAACACACCCTTACGGCTAGTAAACTGGCCTTCCAGTCCGAATGCCCAGGCCAGCGCTGGCACAGAGGGTATGACCAGTGAGGGTGACTCCACGACGCTGGGCATGCAGACGCCTTTCTGCAGAGTCTCCCAGGCTGGCAGGTCTGGGCAGACACTGTCCACCCGAGAGAATGATGTGCATCTTATGAATCCTCGAGAGCCATTCTGAGTCTCAGTCTTACAAGTCCATCTTTGTTTAGCGATTGGAAAGGATAATAAAGTAGCCTTCTATGCCAGCTGAGCAGGTAGGCCAGCACACCGGCAGCTCTCCGGTGTGTAAAGTGCAATGAAAATCGCTCATGTCTAAAGGCATCTAAAGGCTCCCTTCTGCTTCACGCCACCTGAGGACGGTGCGGCTGCTCAGAGGTCAGGTCTGGACAGTGCATTAGGGGGAAAGTAGGTTTCTCACATCAGTAGGACACAGCATGGCTCTCACTTTTGTTTCAGTCCAACTGCTGTGGGGACGGAAATCATTCAATATAACCCACGACAGTTTAGGCTTATCATTTTAATAGGAAGATGAATTCCCTGCCAATATACATAAGTTAAAGTAATAGCCACTTACACAATCATTTTGATGAAAAGAAAAATAAGTTTAAAGCAGTAAGCAGATTAGTTGAAACTCACAGCATTCATCTGAAACGTTGTTATTTCGAGAAGTGTGTGGGAAATGTAACGTGGGATAAAAAATTAAGGCAGCTGAATGTTAGATTTTTAAAACGCACTCTCCTCGAGTTTACCATGTTATAACTGGGCAGGTCCAAACCTGAGGCCTGATGGGAATTTGTTAAAAAGGGGTCATGTGTAACATAAGCATTTGGGACTGACCTATGACCTCAAGCGCAGAGGTTAACTTCGATGAGCACAACTCAGAGGGTCAGACACAGCATCCAGCTCGCAAGGCTGGGCAACAAGGAGAGCCTGGGTCCCTCGGGCAGCACAACGGGCGACACGGGCCACAGTGTCCTGCGGACGGCAGCTCAGAGGGAACCTGAGCCTCGGCTCCTGCGAGAGGAGACGGTGGGCTAAGCAGGGGACCCAGGAGGCTGTGCGTGGAGAGGGTTTCCAGGCGGAAGCCGTGCTGAGGAGCTAAGCCAGTGAGGCAGGAGTCCTGGCTCTCGAAGGGCCTGGTGGGAATTCAGCTCTGGGCACAGTTCTTGGTAACGGGAACTGACTAGTGAAGAGAACAGGAGAACCTACTTGGAGAAGTTCTGTCGTAAAAACTCCTTTCTTTAGTAGGTGAGCACTCCCCAAATATCTTACGCTTCCTGCCTGTATGATTCATAAATATACGAAGAGTAAAATGAAATTAGTATTAAGTGAAGGAATTAAAATAGTCTTAGACATAATCAATGCAAATGTGATATGGAAGATAACAACACTAAACACGTATGATTGATTCAACTGAACTGAAAGGAGGCCTATTTTTTTAAAAAATCTAAAATACACAATATTCTAAGTAGAGTGAAGACAATGAATATATAGAAAATATATTCCATAAAAATGTTAGGAGGCACTCTAACAACTTAATAAAATATTAAAATGCAGCAGTTAAAATCAGAATTCTAAGTAACAATATTAGTACAATTCATATACACATATAGTCAAAATATTACCATCAAATATCATTAATGAAAAGAATGTGGTTATTATTAAAAGATTTAAATGATTGAAAAACTCGTCATTTTCTACCAGGAGCTTCCGGGTTCAAGTAGATCCCACAGCTCATGTCCCCAAGGGCCAAGCGCAGGCAGGTGCTTGTCTACAAGATGCTCTGGGTCCACAACAGGGTCTGGCCCTGGCGTTGGGCTGTGAGCCATGACGGCTGAGTGTGCAGGAGACGTGGGCCCTGTCTCTTACAAGGCAGCCAGGTGGGCGGGGGACACAACCACAGGCGGGCAGGTGTGGGCGAGATTCCATCCTGCTCAACACCCCACAACATGGAGGAGCTGTTACTGCATCTCTAAGTGAGACCTTGAGCCTCAGCGGATGGTAGAAGTGAGCCTAAGCCTTGGTCTGTCGTCATCTGTGAGAGGAAGTGAACGTTTATTGGACAGCATCCCCGGTGGCAACCTTCCCTCCCAACAGTGGCTCAGCTGGGCAGCCAGCAGAGGGGGAAGTAGAAACAAGAATGAGAGATGCGGCCTACAACAGTGGGTGGAGGGGAGTGGAGGGCATTGGGGAATGCAAATTCAACCTATTTGATCGAATAACAATGAAATAGCAAGAAACAGCAAACTTTAGAGAGAAAACTGTGAGGTTATGCACACGGGGAGGCGAACTCACTCTACCAGGCAGGCAGACGCTGTCTCACCGGGGGGCAAGGACCCGGCAGGTGCACAGGGAGACACTCTCTGGGCAAAAGGGTGGTTTCCTATTCAGTAACCATAGTCCTCGGGACACACAGACGCACTTAGCGAACCCTAATGCAGGGGTCACGAAAAATACAGCGGCTCTGGAAGGGCGTGGTGGGGACTTTGCGATTGTTCCAGCGATTTGAGAGAGGACACACACATGACCACCAGCAAGCCTCGCGGAAGGAAACACTGTTTAATTATGCTCCTTCCCGCCTCCAGGTCCTCAATGAAGGGTCTAGCTAGACACAGACTGTGTCGAGGTCATTCTTCCCAAGATGTCACAGAATGGAGAGTGACTTCTGAATTAAATCTATTCCTTAAGCCGTACTAAAATCCTTATATGTGGAAAATAAATATAGTGAATCTGAGAATTTTAACATACAAAAATGTTATAAGAACTTACTATTTGTCTACTAGTTTTACAGTTCCTGGAAGAATACTATGTACTTTGCATAGGTTGAGTTATTCTATCTCCAAATACAACATTATTTTCACATGAATTTCCATGTTTATTGTCTAGAGAGCCAGTTGTTCAGGACATTTAGAAAACTCTGAGAATAACAGCATTAGAACAAACAGAAAAGCAGAGGGACCCGCTACATTTATTCTGAAAGAGCGTGTCGAAGCTGAAGTACTGATCGAACTCTGGAGATACTTCGCAGAACTCTGAGGGTCAGAAATGTCTACGGATAGAAGAAATAGTGTAAGTCTGAAACTGACTGTTACTATACATTCCCTAAACAGTAAAACCAACTAAAAACAAAAGTTTGTTTTACTTAAATATTTAACAAAAATTTATTGCAAGATATATTTCTCACTGAATTTCCAGTTTCAAGGAACGTGGTACAAAACATAGTGCCATCAGCTTTGTCTAAACATTAAATAGGTGCAAATACACAAAGATTAAAAAAATAAACAAAAACCAAAGAGCATACTTTACAACATACATTACAGCCCTATAAATATATTTTATGTACATTATACATACTCTTAAGACATCGACTTAATATACAGCATATATTGTATTGATTCTGAAACGATTCAGTGCCTTGATAATATTCTATGTCAGAAACTAGGAACTCATTTGCATCCTGGGACTCACAGGAAGGGCTTTCCCATCCGCGAGGCATGGTTTGGCTGGCTCTCCCCACCATTCAGCGGGCAGTGACCCCCGTGGCTGAGCACCCACACACACAGCCACCGTTTTCATTGATCTCTTTCCCTTTGACGGTGTGACTAGAAGAGGGGCTGGAGCGGGAGGACGGCCGGGTGGGGGGCGAGCAGGGAGGGGAAGAGGGTGTGGGGCAGAGGCGGGAAGGCCAAGGGGCTGGGATGCAGGACCGAGGCTGGAATGATGGGTATCGGAGGAGGTGCGACTAACGCGGGTGGGTTCCCGGGACAGAGCCTGGTGCCCAGGGGTCCCCTGGAGATGGCAGTTTGAGGTAAGGATGTCCTGGTGAGAGACGGGACCTGGGACAGGAACCGTTGGTGCGGCTGAAGCACTTTCAAGGTCCCCGTCTGATGGTGCAGGACGGTGTGGTGGATGGTGGTGACAGAGGTAGAGCTCAGGGGCTGCTGCAGAGGCAGAGGCTGCAGAGGCGCGCTGGGTGGGGCCAGGGCCGCCGCGGGGAAGGTGAGCTTGACCTTGTGGGCCAGCAGGCCCGGCTGGAGGATGTGCTGGTAGACCTCGCAGGGGAGAGCTTTGAACTTGTCAGGGGTTTCTATGGGGATCAGCAACGCCTGCTCGGGCAGAGCCAACGGAGCCAGGATTTGCTCCGTGGTGACCAAGGCGTGGCCACTGACCTGTGCTTCTTTGAAGGGCAGTGGTGGGTGAGCGTGAAGAATTCCTGCAGGGAGACACAGCCACTCGGGGGAGGCCTCGGCCGCGGCCGCCTTCCCCTGGGGGAGGGCCTGGGCCAGCTCGTGGTGGCAAAGGAGCGCCTTGGGCGGGGGCTGCTGGCAGGTCTTCTCCGCAGGAGGCACCTGCTTTTCCCTGATGGGTACAGTCTGGCTTCCCTCCTGGTGCCCCAGCCGGGCGCCGGGCACTTCTTCCGCTGCGGGGGTGCCAGCTGCAGGGACAGAGGTGGGCTCATCGGAAACCTCGGGCCTGGAGCCAGAGGGGGCCTCGGTGACCACACACTCAGCTCCCCCATCGCTTCCCGAAGGAAGGGGGCTGCTGGGGCGTGGGGTCAGCTTGTGTGTTACGGGGTCTGTTTGCTCTGAGTTCCTGTCGACATTTGCCATGTCTTGTGGGTTTAGTTCCTCTTTTGTGTCTGCGCCCATCAACCCGCCCGGCTGACCGACAGGAGAAGCCGCTTTCGCGGGGTGGTCTGCTCGCTCCCTGAGCTCCAGGGCTCCCCGTCTGGGGCGGAACCGGCCTCTTTTCCTCCTCCGTCTCCTTCTAGGCGTGAAGGGAGCTCGGGGTGGTGCCCCGAATTCTCCTGGTGAAGCATGCTGTGCGTTTAGACTTTCATCCGAAGAGGGAGAAGATGAGTGTGGCCTTCGCTTTCGATAACATCTTTCGGCTTCATTGACCAGAGAATTATAGCCTCGCTTGACGGCCTGGTTCGGGGGCGCGCCTCTGGTGGCCTTTGGAAGAAAGACGCATCCGTGGTCCTGACCACAGCTGGGCACCGTGGCTTTGCAACTGCAGGAAGTTCTGGAGGGTGTTAAACTACATTTCCCAGAACCCATCTTTGTGGGACTGGACTGTCCATTTAAAACAGTCGAGTTCTTTGTCCAGTGATTTTTAGAACTGATATCGTCATTATGATTGTATGCGGCGTTCCATGTTTTCCACGTTTCTGTATTTTCACGTAAGAACAGAAATGCTGATGTGGGCTCTTTATCAGGTGGTTGATGTGCGTCTGACGGTGGCTCTTCAGCTAAATCCCGCTTTTCTGAAATCGTTTCTAGCGGGTGTTTCCTAGCTGTGTCGGTGCAACTATTTCCTGTCTCCGTTTTGAAGGGAGTTGTTGATTCTTTGGCTTTCTCCCCACGATGGTGGTGACATAACTTCCTTCGTTTTTTCTTTCTTCTGCTTTTATGGAACCGGTGTTCATGCGTATCTTTCAACCTTGTTTTGTGGCATTTCTCATGAGTATTCTGTTTTGTTTGTTTTTGAATAAAATGATATCTTTTTGTTTTTCTGCTCCTACAGGAACTATGTTTATACCTCTGATCTATATTCTCATTTCTTCCAGAATCACAACCACTGGAGAGAGAATCTTCAGCCAGAAGAGGAGGGACTGGGGCGGATTCGTTTCTGCTTCCTCCACCGTCATGACCTGTGGGGCCTGTGACAGCGCTGCCCGTGCAATCCCAAGCCGGGCTCTTGCAAACGTCTTCCCCCTTCTGCTGGGAACACAGGCCACTGAAGGGCGGCTTGTTTTTCTCTAGGTGGTTGTTCACTTTAGTGGATTTAAAGTCAAAACAGAGAGGGTTGCAGCTGTAGGAAACGGGTGGCTGAGCAGTTGTGTAAAGTAGCATTTCCGACGGCCACTGAAGAACCGTGGACCCATCTTTGTTAAGCACAGGAACAAAGGGCTCACAGGGCCTTTTAGAGAAATCTGGCGTTTTATGTGAAGTGACAGTGCCCGCTTCAGAAAGGGAAGGGGCCAGCCTCTCAGGACCACGGGGTTCAGTTTCAGCTTCGATGGCGGGTGCTGCATCGTCCTTCGCACTTTCCGCTGGGGCCGCTGGCAAAGCCGTGTGGTTGGCAGCCCGATCGAGAGCTGCGCCCCTACTTCCTGACGACTCGGAATCGGCAAGACCCTCAGCTATGTCTTCATTCATAGCAACATCTTCCGGGGGTGCTGGATCTGCGGATGCCACTGAATTTTGGCAATGACCTGCATCCGAAGACAAAGGGGGTTGGAACTGGCAAGAGGAAGGTAATAAAAATGTATCTTTTTCACAAGCGACCTCTGTCATCTCCTGCGTTGGAGCCGTTTCCGGGCAGTGGCACGTTCCCTCGGCTGGAGGAAGGAAGTGAGCCTTCTCCTCGGGGCTCAGGAGCACGCCTGTCGGCGAAGGCCGCTGCAGATGACAAGGCCCTGGGACAAACCGACTCCGCCTCCCCAGCCCTCGGTCCAGGGAGGCATCGTCGCTGCTCTCAGCGAAGGCTGCGGCCGAGGACTCCAGCCTCAGGGACGCTTTCTTGGGAAACGCGAAAGAGAAGGCAGTCCTGTGTCCGTGAACGCCCTGGGCGCGCTCCCCGAGCCGGTGTGCCTTTGCAGAATGACGTGCACTTCCTGGGTCTGCGGCCACAGCGCTCACCTCTTTCGCAGGCTCTTCGCTGGGACCCAAAGGACACTTGACATCCTCCTGGTTGTGAACTGAACCCACAACAGCTCCCTGGGGCAGGCCATTACGAGTGTCTCCCACCGTCACCGTCGTGGACTTGAACATGGGGCCACTTCCGGGAGCCCTGCAAAGAGCAGCAGGTGTGTACATTAGAGGGGGCGCATTCGGGAAATACTCAAGCACATTCACCTGGGAGACGTCTCTGTAACACTTTCCTCAACCGTCTGAATCTTCGGGAAGGAATCACCGCCATGCAGTTCAGGTGGCTTCCATGGGGCAATCGCATGTATCGGTCACTGTGTGGGGTACCGCGGAGGTGCTGGCAGGAAGTAAGGGGGATAGTTGTTTAAAGCAAAGGCCCGCGTAGCCCCAGGCTCTCAGCCAGTGCTCTTGACCAAGACTGTGTTCCCCTGTAATCTCCTCAGTGACATTGCAAAGTATTGCAGAATTTTCTAAAATAATTTTAATTCACAAATATTTAACATCAGTAATGCTACATGGAGATTATGGAGGGAATTAAAGAAAAACCCTCCATTATATATTTTTATTTATTTTAGAGAGGAAGGGAGAGGGAGAGAGAGATAGAAACATCAATGATGAGAGACAATCATTGATTGGCTGCCTCCTGCAGGCCCCACACTGGGGATGGAACCTGCAACCTGGACACGTGCCCTGACCAGGAATTGAACCGAGATCTCCTGGTTCCTAGGTCGACGCTCAATCACTGAGCCGCGCCGGCCGGGCAAAAAAAAGGCCTTTCTTTCCCTTTGCTGTGACTTCCCACAATTTATGAGAAGTACCTGGTAATTAAACCCCAAGGGAACCACGGGAATGAGTCTTATTCTGATACAGAAATAAATAAATGTCTCCTTTATGTCTATTTTTTTCTCTGTGTTTTTGTCATTACATTTTAGGAACAGGTGCCCACTCCTGCACACTCACCGCGCGGCTTCCTTCCTCAGCTCTGCCAGCCGGTGGAGGCGCTGGAGGGCCTTCGCCTGCTTTCTTTCATCTTTCCTGGACTTAGAGGCTACGTTTCGAGCGAATTCCCTTTGTTTCAGTTCTTTGAGCCTCTATTGAAAAAATAGGGAAAGATGAATAGTACTTGGGTCGACGACAATGTTCGAGTTGCTATTGTTTCTATTGTTGAACTTTTCCAATACATCACTTTGTTTAACCTCGTTTAAGGAAAACACCACGTTTGTGACAGCCCACTTCAGACAAAAATATTTTCTGACCCTTCTGGCTTGAGAAAATGCCCAAACATATCACTGTATTATCTGAAAAGATCTCCCCAAGCCGTAGGCGAGAGGAACCGAAAACTTGCATTGCTGCTCCTTGACCGTTTCCTGCCAAGGTTCTCCGCCTAATTCAGACAAACGGTGGGAATCCTGCAAAGCCCTGATTCTCAAACAAAATTAGCTCGTGTATTTCACTTACAGACAACATAGGCATCGGGTAGTTTTATATGTTCTAAGAAGAGTAAATGCCTTACATTAACCCATAAGATAAATGGCCTTTACTAAGGGCATTTAAAACAATCCCTCCTCTCACATGCTAGGTATATTTCCCAAATAACTCTAGATATGAGAATAAAATTAGTGATGTTTTGTGTGAACTCTTTTTACATTAGGTGTATTTTTCATCTGTATTAAGGGGCTCATTTTGGGGATTTAAGGCTAGAAAGAGTATGCCAACTGGAACAGAATCGATAAACAGCATGTGGCAGTATTTAAGAGACACCAAAGTGATCCCATGTCCCAAATATCTCACCACAGTCTTTCACAGTCACAGCATATCGTTATTAAAAATGATTAAGGTACTATATTTTCTCATGAAGCTCATGTCGTTATCCAATTGTAATGTTGTATAGCCTTAGAGTAAGACTCTAAGAGAATAAAACATATATTAATCACATTAGGAAGTGATTGAACAAAGTTTTAATAAATGCCTTATACATATATGCTGATGTGTGCTAAGGCTTAGGGCAATGCTTGGTGTATTATATGACTGCTTAATAAATATTTGTTGATTTATATGTGAATCCTTTTAGATCCTTCAAGTGAGGAATTTTCCTCCCTCAACAACTGAAGTAATACTAATGAAATAATATTAGACTCCTGGGAACCCGAATTGTATCTGCTTAATTTCACCTGCTTAGTATCATAGCTTAAGCTTCAAGTAAACTTTGGGATTTCTGTAAGATGTGCATAATTATTTTAAAAATTATTTTAAATATTTTAAAATAATGATTTTTTAAAAAAGTGTTCTGTTGATCTTAGTCTTCCTCTCTGTACACAATTCCCTCGTCTAAACGACAGCCTTCCTGATAAAGTGAAGCAGCTTGCCTCGTACTTAGGGCATAGCCAGCAACTGACTCATAGGCCTGTCCAAACACGTTGGTTAGTTTTAGGCTAGAATTTATCCGCCTTTGTATCCTTTCTGGTATTTTTCTGCAGCAAAAATAAAGTCCTACGTCGTATTTTATATCCAGGAGAGTAATTCTGAAAAGTAAATAGTAGAAACCAAGTAAATTCTTTTGAGAGTGCCAAATAGAAAGAAAACTTAAGTTCCACACAAATAAATATACAAGATAATAGCTGTGAGGCTTTATGGAAATGTCAATGCTATTTCTAAAGCTTCCGCAACAATTTGTTGAGAATCACTCAAAAGAAATCCTTAGTGATAAATGTCAAGACAGGAATGGCAGTCAGCAAGAATTAGAAAATTAGAATGCTGAAAGGAGTTAGTAGAAGGATGTGGTCTAGCTACTGTATCACAAATCACATTATAATGCACACTGGCAGATAATTCAATAGATATGCATGCAGAGAAAGGAAAAACCTAAAGAATCAATATTCTCTGGTTATGATGCCATCTCAGAAGGCCCACTCCCCTTCCCGCTGACTTCCTTCTACTAATCTTTAGAGAACCAAATGCCATAGGGAACAGAATTCGTCAATCTCAAACATGGTCCACGGTGTCAGGTGTCGGATTGCTGGCAAAGTTATGATGGTCCTGCCTTTACATTAGACTGGCAAAGGTTTAATCAATGTAAGAAGAGGGACAGAGAGAGAGGCACTGACTCATTTAGATAACTCATCAGTTTGTGCTTAAACTTTTAGGTGAATTACATTGCTTTACAACTACAAACCAGAATTTCACCAACATTCTGGTGTCTATATTTTGTACATCTATTTATACCCAAAAGGTAGGTGGTCGCTACAAATAGAACACACATGTGCACTTTTTTCGGTTTTCCAAAATGCTGTTTATAACTTTACACCATTTTGAACTCCTCCCAGGAGTATATGAGTATACTAGAGGCATGGTGCACAGATTCGTGCACTGGTGGGGTCCCTTGGCCTGGCCTGCAGGGATCTGGCTGATACCGGCTCTCCAACATCCTTAAGGGGTCCTGGATTGTGAGAGGGTGCAGGCCAGGCCAAGGGACCCCACCGGTGCATGGCTGGGGCCACGGGAAAGCTCCAGGGCATGTCTGGCCCGTCTCGTCCAGTCCCGATCAGCCAAACCCCAACAGCAAGCTAACCTACTGGTCAGAGCATCTGCTTCCTGGTGGTCAATGTGCGTCATAGCAACTGGTTGGTCAAATGGTCAAATGGTCGGACACTTAGGTTATAAAGCTTTTATTATATAGACCAGTGGTTCTCAAGCTGTGGGTCGCGACCCTTTTGGGGGTCAAACGACCCTTTCACAGTGGTCGCCTAAGACCATTGGAAAACACATATATAATTACATATTGTTTTTGTGATTAATCACTATGCTTTAATTATGTTCAATTTGTAACAATGAAATTGGGGGTCACCACAACATGAGGAACTGTATTAAAGGGAACTGCATTAGGAAAGTTGAGAACCACTGATATAGAATATCATATCCAATGTTGGGTAGCATCACTGTTAATATATTTAATTGATAGTCAATAAGTGATGTATCTCTCGACGAGTGTGATTCAATGCTTGTGCATCAACCTATGAACCAGGAGGTCACGGTTCCATTCCCAGTCAGGTCACATGCTCGGGTTGTACGCTCAGTCCTCTGTGGGGGGTGCAGGAGGTAGCTGATCAATGATTGTCTCTCATCACTGATGTTTCTATCTCTCAGTCCCTCTCCCTTCCTCTCTGAAATCAACCAATAAAAATATATTAACAAAGTAAGTTATGTATAATGAATACTTTGCCTATAATTCATGTGTTGAACAAGATGGAATATTTTATATACATATTAGCCATCTGTAATTATTTAGAACTGATGTTGTTCGATAGAATTTGTTAAGCAATATTATATTCATTACTTTTATTGAAAAAGAAACATATGAGCAGCCAAGGCTAGCATTGTTTCCGTATTCAGAGAAGACAAAACTGAAGCTAAGGACATTACAGAGGCGTGTCCTGAGCCACACGCGAGTGGTAGAACAGGCTGGGCCCTTAGTCACGGTCTCAGCAACACGGACCTCCACTCACCAGGGGCGACCGGCTGAGTGCCATCTGCCGGCAGCAGAGACAACCCAGCCCCGCCCGGCACCGTTAGTGAGGGCATCAGCCAGTTGCCCGGAGGCAGGTGATGGCATTGTGCAGCTTCCTTCCTGAAAAGGGCAGCATTTTGGTCTTCCAGGAATGGACATCAACTTTGGATACAGACTTGTCTTCTCTCCATGCGATGCTTCTGTCAAAACCGCAACCCAGAAGCGTACGGATGGATGGGATGCCTTACCCATCGTCAGGGGGTTCCACGCGCACTGCTCTGATCGAAGGGCGGGCGGTCTGGCTGTGACGGTGTGAACACTGCCAATTGCCTTCCCTGAACACACCCTTCTATTTCACTAAGAGAATTCAAGCATTAGGGGAGAGAAAGCTACTCAACTAAAACAATAAAGATCGCAGCCTCCTGTGTAAATAAGAGTGGCTCTGTGACCGTTTTCACTAACTGAATGATAAGCAAATATTGCTGAGGCAGATATCCCTAAGGAGGGAGAGGAAAAAAGTCAAGTCTCAGAAGAGAAATTCCCTTTCTGTTTCTTTAACCAGGTTTGCTTCCTACCGACGTGCCATTGTGAGTCCTAGGTGGGCAGCAGCCAGCTCTCCACTGCAAGGCTGCTGTCTGACAGCGAAGGCCTGGATGTTAAGGTTGACAGAGGAAGACAAACAAACTCCCTGCAGCATCACTAGAGACCCGGGCAGAAATTTGTGCACAGGCAGGGTCCCTAGGCCTGGCCAACGATCAGGGCCGATCGGGGCCTTCCGGCTGCCGGCCGGGGCCTTTCTTCGTTCCGTGCCGCCCCCTGGTGGTCAGCACACGTCATAGCGAGCAATCGAACTCCCGAAGGTACAATTTGCATATTAGCCTTTTATATATATAGATTGGGCTCCTGCATTAAGCGCCTCGGGCACTGTAAGTGCCCATGAATGCTTTTTGACTCAGTTGGCTCAGGAGGGCGGTGATGAACTTTCCTATGCAATAGAAGACTTTACAAAATTGTGAACAGAAATCTCAATACGATCTCTGGCAGTTCAGGGAAAGCGATGGAAGCTCGAGTATAAGAACATTGACCCTTGCTTCATCCTAGGATTGACGACCTACGTCACTTGGGAGAGAAAAATAAAACATAAGCCAGCTGTACTTGAGTTTTCCCTGACGGGCACTGACTATAATCTTAACTTATATACCCACTTAGGAGACGTGAGGCTGGATGATTCACTTCATAGTCTCAGACCACTTTCTCCGCCTCTGAAGTCTCTGATGTTATCTAAGTTCCTACTAATTTCACATTTTTAGATCAATGTTTCTATTGCCATCTTTTAGGATGGATTTAGTCGGTATTGAATAAAATATGTTTAGAGCAATAAGAATGGCCTTGTTAAGTGTTTTTCCTTCTACAAGTAAATTCATTATTCTTCTGAATGGTTCCAATACCTCCATTTCTAGTTATATGCTTCTTAGTAAGTTAATATATTACCCACTATTACTGTTTCCACAGGCTTGAAATTTCCCTTGAATTCCCAAGAGCTGCTTCTATCAAGAACTATTTTCCATGGCTTTTGAAAAAAATCTAAGTATGCTTTCTATCTTGCAGAGAAGTAATATCCTCAAAGAATTACAACTCAATCACCAACTCTATTTCCTGAATCAATTTAGCCTTCTTGGAAGACAGCATTCAGTGAGTGCTTTAGAATGTCAGCAAATGTATTCCTTCAGAGGAGGTTAAGGTATGCGAGTGAATGGATCACACTTCACTGTGTAATTTCCTTCCAGCCATTATTTAATCAATGCTATTATGCTGAGTGAACTTGTGGAGGACTCTTCTTACATTTCTTTTCCCATTACCATCACAAATGCGCAGCATTTGGACTTCTCTCCTGGCAGCTTTAAAGGAACCTAATCTCTTAATGCATATCAGATCTGAACATTATCTCTCCCCCAGGCCACTCCTTCTTTAAATTCCATTAACTCAAGTTTCTCTTTGTGGACAGAAATCTCATGCTAGTTCGAATAGGAAAGTCTCTGCAACCTGTTATGTCTAGAACGGACTCTTCGGCCATTCGGTTCATTTTCGTAAGCGCTGAGTCAGAGGCACCCGTGCGCTGTAAGTGCCATGAATGCTCGTCGGATTGAATCAGCACAGGAGGGTGATGATGAACTTTCTCCCTAGATACAAGACTTTACACATTTGCTCACAGAAATTTCAATACGACCTCTGGGCGTACAGGGGAAGCCATGGAAGCGCCAGTGTAAGAGTATCGACACTTGTATTTTTAAAAAACGCAGAAACAACCTGAGTGGCCAGAAACTGGAGAACAGTTAAGAATTACGATTCAGTTTTGTAAGGAGATACTAATGTGGCTGCTACCAATAATGCTAACAGTTGTAAAATATTAGAAATATTGTTGCATTATGATAGTAATTTAAAAAATAGCATGCTAATAATTGTACAACATCATCAACTGTACCACCATCTATAGCAATAAATGCACCAAATACATCCATAGATGCATTAGCAAATGTATCTGTATCTATAGAAAAAAATGCTAGAAAATACACAAAATGTCAGTGGTATTTCTTTTTGTCAGGTAAATCAGAAGATTGCACTTTTATTTTCCACTCCATGGTATTTTTCCTTAGGGGTATGTTTCTTTAAGAATTATTCTGGCATAAGAAGAGATGAACTTCTGTGGTGAATGCACACGTCATCAGATGGCAGTTAGCAGCCTCATGACCCTCGGTGTCTCCACTCTCCTCCCCTGGCCTCAGTCTGACTGCGGACATACGCGTCTGCTGCGGCCACACCACACTCTGAGGTTACTATTCTTTTTATTACAAATATATTTTTATTGATCTCAGAGAGGAAGGAGGAAGGGAGAGGGAGAGAGAGATAGAACCATCAGTGATGAGAGAGTCACTGATTGGCTGCCTCCTGCACACCCCACACTGGGGATGGAGCCTGCAACCCGGGCATGTGCCCTGACCGGGAATCGAACTGTGCCCTCCTGGTTCATAGGCCGACACTCAACCACTGAGCCACGCCGGCCAGGCAATTCTGTCTAATCTTTTTATATGAGAGAAGCACTTAGAACATATGGAACCGAAAATTAAATACAAATTGATTCTTTACGGGTGAGCATACAGGCCCTAACTATGCATGACACCTGCTGACACAGAATTCGTGAACCTGAGATCCAGAAAGCCCAAACCCTCGTTCGTGATGCAGACCTGGAGCCCTGGGAAGGCGGGGATGAAAGATACGGAGAGCAGAGAGCGGAGGGGACTGGCGTTTCCACAGGCCTGGGGCTGGGGCGGGTGAGGGGTGAAGGGAGTGAGAAGTGTGACTGGCAGGTACCAAGTAGCCCCAGGATGTGAGGTGCAGCACAGGGCGACAGCCACTCATATTGTGGTCACTACGGACCGGCTGGCTGGGCACCGGGACTATCGAGGGGACACTATGTAACGCATATGCCTGTTTAGTCACTGATCTGTGCATCTAAAACCAACAGAAATAATATCAAAAGAAACACACACACAGCTTCTGCCGTAGCAGATGTTCATGATGGAGCAGCCCCAGGTCCCCAAACGCACTCAAATACACATATAAATGCAGGTTCATCAGCTTCAAAATGGACGTGTTAAGTGTGCAATTGCAAGTATTTCCAATACTTACAGCATCGTCTCATATTAAATCAATGAATTGCGCCTCTGCTCTCCACCAGAGCTCACGGTGATTTAGATGGTGTGTCTCCCTCTAGGGTCCAAAGCCCCCAGGCGTTATCAAAAGTGACCTTCTGGCCCGGCCTGTGTTGCTAAGTGGTGAGCGTTGACCTATGAACCAGGAGGTCACGGTTCTATTCTGGTCAAGGCACCTGCCTGGACTGTGGGCTCCATTCCCAGTGTGGGATGTGCAGGAGGCAGCTAATCAATGATTCTCTCTCATCATTGATGTTTCTCTCTCTCCCTTCCTCTCTGAAAGCAATAAAAACATATAAATTTTATTTAATTTAAAGTGAGCCTCGACTTCAGAATAGTAGCCTAGATCCTGCCTGATGGCCCAGCTCACCTCTGGACAGTCTATCGTACCCTAACGTCACTAATGTCATTGAACGGAACGGAAAGGTCCTATGATTGTCTCAGCGAGTGTGATCTTGTAGCACCCACGGCTGAATGAAGCGGAGGGTAGCAATAGCTGGTAAGATATTCTCCAAACACGCACACAAAGGCACACCCATGTCCAAGTACCCAGTTTACACGATGAAACGTGTGTAATAATATATCTTACGTTTTCAGGTAGAGGAACAATTTTCTGAGATGTATCAACCTCATTGGAAACAACATTCCAGAATCATTTCATAAAGCAAACGCCAGGAAATGCAGAATGAAATCAATACTATTTCCTGATGGATTATAATGTTTAAATCAAGCTATAACGTATGCATAGGCATGCCTTTTTAAGGAAGACAATGGATGTTATTTCCACCAAAACCTTCCCCTCAACTGGTGTGCCATGGAGCTACTACCGGGAAGAAGCAAGGCCAGGCCAGCCTTTATGTGCTCCGCCAGCCACGCCTGTGAAGGAAGCTAACTCTGGCCCTACTCGGCCTGCCTGAGGACAGCTATAGATATGAGAGAATGAAAGGAATCACAGAAAATATACATACAACGGGTTCATAAGCATTTAGGTGGTCATTTCTCCCCACTCTTCTTACTTATGCTAAACAACGTTAAACTGACAGTAATGGGTGATACTGGTGAGTGACGGCTATAAGGGAACATGTCTTTAACGGATGATAATTGAGACTGCGAGGCGCTAGCACACCAGTGCGCTGGCCAGCACAGGGGCACCGATAAGCGTAAAGTGGACGGGAAAAGGCAATCTGTATCAGTAACTTCACTGCCGACTTCATCACTCCTTTGAACTCATGCTTGCAGAGTATTGAAAAAAATCCACCTTGCATTTACAATAGATAGGGAAATAAAACAACATTAAAATAAACTAAATTAGGCACACATTCAGTACTTATTTAACCAATCACCCTGGTTATTTTTAGCATCTCATTCCGCCCTCCCCGCCCTCTGATTTATAGTAAATGCTTTATATAAAGAACTAGAAGTAAATTCATTTATAGTTGATAAATATCATTAGCTTATTAAAATATTTAAACACTTGTATATTTGAATATATTTAACAGATCCCAACCTGCAGAATATAATTTTTGAAAATACTGCCAATCACTAAAAGGCAAGTGAATGGTATCTGTATTGTTTATTTCAGACTTTACATTTGGTGCTTTTTTAAAAAGTCTTTTACTATGTCATTAACTTATCATCCCAGAATATCTCTAAAAATTGTTTAAGAAAGAAAAATAAATAAAAAATGTCTTGTGCACAGAGTCTACACAATTCACATCGTTAGAGAAAAGTGCAGCCACAGCATGTTCTCGGGCCCGTTCTTACCTGCTTGTGCGCGTGGTCATAGGAATTAATGTGATTGTCGAACTCCTGGTGCTTGTGGTACTGCTTGTCGCAGAGCTCACAGTAGAAGTTGGCCTTCAGGTCCTCCAGCGCTTTGGCGATGGTGTTCTCCTTCTCCGCATAATCCTGGAACACAGTTTCAAAGGAGGAACAGTCAGCTCTCCCCTGCGTTTATTTCGTTCTGATGGTTGTCATCTAGTTGAGAAGAGTAAGAAACTTTACTTCATGGGCAACCAGAACAATAAAGCCAACACCAACCAACCAAATGAGAAGGAATTTTGAGTTAAAGAAAATGAAAGGTTAACAGAGCAGCCAAAATAAGTGATGGGAAGAACAGAAGAAACACTGAGAAGAAAAATAAACCACGGAAAGAAATGGAAGCCCTTGCTCGAACAAGCTGCTACGCTACGATAGCATAGAAACAAATGGCAATCATACAGCTATGTTGATTCAACAGTTAACAGGGAACATCTAACTAAATCCGAACAAATCTAAAATGTGTCTTTTTTTATCAAGTCCATATGGATGACATCAACATTCAGGTTTTTGTATTTGTGTTTGCTTGTCTGTCTCCTTAAATATCTACAGAGTAACATATCCATCACAACTAGATTTCATTGGACTAATGTGTTCATCTGGACTCACGTCAATTTAGGTTGAACATTCAAATAGACTCTAGTCTTCAAGAAGTCAGATTCCTCTCTGCCAGCTCTTTACCTAAACTGAAGATGATTGAACTGTCTAAGCAGACTGCATTCATCATAAATAAAGATGGCTCTATCACCAAACCCCGGGAACGATGAAAAATTCAGCCAGTTCTCATCCGCGTTCATTTACAAGCCAAAGATAGCACAATGTTTGACTGTGGCTTTTAGGGTTTCTTAAATCTAAATGTACTTGCTGTTTCATGACTCCTTAAACACTGACATTGCCAGACATGAATAAATTGTATGTGTGGAAACCCTGTCCAAGTCTTTCACTGAAGTGCTGCTATGAAGACCTAAACGTCAATCCCTACCACACACTACATTAAACTTCTAATTTACAGATCCTTTCCTACTCAATTCCTTTAAAATCCAAAATAACATATCCCCCGGCCTGACATGCTGCTCTTGAACACTGAAGGGGACTGGAACGCGGAGATTAAATGGCATCGTCCTCTTTGTGGCCATGACAATTGTCCTTTTTACCAAATGTAAAGGCTGGGAAAGACACATAGTTTAAATGTTTAAATTACTTCTATAAGCCCAGCTGGCATGGCTCAGTGGTTGAACGTCGACCTATGAACCAGGAGGTTAGGGTTTGATTCCCGGTCAGGACACATGCCCGGGTTGGGAGCTCGATCCCCAGTAAGGGACGGGCAGGAGGCAGCCTATCGATGATTCTCTCTCATCATTGATGTTTCTATCTCTCTCTCCCTCTTCCTTCCTCCCTGAAATCAATAAATATATATTAAAATAGGTAAATTACTTATACAAAATTTAAAAGTGGCATACTAACTATAATCCAATTAATAACAAATTCTTCCCTTACATTATTGTACTAAGTATTTGTGTCCACATCCTATATTATAATTTCACATGATCTGTTTGTATACCTGGTAGTAGACCTTTTAGTACCAGATAAATACATCTCCCATAATCTATAAACACATTGCCCACTTTCTCACTTTAAAAACAATAATTATTGCTATATCTTATTAGTTTTATCAACTGCATAGTAAGAGGTGATAAAATGCAAAATCACTCGAATTGTTACATAATTACATCAATTTCAAGAATTAATTTACCATTTCTTGGCAGATTTGTGGTGACTCTATTTTTTTGATGACTTCCTCAATATGTTAAAAATGTTAGCTTAAAAATATGAAAATTACTCATATACATGTAAACTGCTTACTGAATTTTATAAAATCTTTAAAGTATTATTTTGTGAATTAGCCAATTTAAATGAAACAAAAATTAGTACCATGACTTCATGGCTAAAATGTGCAAAGCAGAGATAAAATTCCAGTCAATGTAAGTAATAATGGCAACATATTTTGGTTCAAAGCTGAATTACTTCTCCAAACAACATTCTTGAAGGGAAATTTCTTTATTTCTTTGCAAACTTGTTGATTTTCCCCATTAATTATACTTTAAGCTATTTCCTCTCTTTAAATATTTGGTGATTGCTTTTCAGAGTGTAAGTTTATTTTTCCTCCTAATGTTGATATCCCTCCAGAGAAGCAATAATTGTTTTCTTACTTCTGTTTTTCACAAAAGCGTGTAATCTTTGAATAAAGCAAACCTATGTTCTTAGGCAAAGTGCATTCTTCAAAAATACTTGCCTCCCTGAAGCTTGTCATCCCCGTTCAACAAAGACACCTGCTCCCCATCAGCAACTTGGACTGAAAGGGTCCGTGAGGAAGCTCAGCAAGGGCTAGCCTCTGAGAGGCCGAGCTGGTGTTTTGAATTGGATGAGAAATACGTATATTTCATATTACTGCGTTCTGGGACGGGTGCACCTAAGAAGTTTTGCACATTTGCTAAAAGATACATTACTCAACAGGCTGGTCGTGTGGACAAGGGGTGATAAGATGAGCACCTAAGAATGTAATCTATATATATAAAAGGCTAATATGCAAAGTGTCCCCTCAGGAGTTCAACCGGGAGACCGGAGTTTGATTGCTCGCTCTGATGTGTGCTGACCACCAGGGGGCTGCGCAGAACGAAGGAAGGTCCCAGCCGGCAGCCGGAGGCCCTGATCAGCCCTGATCGCCAGCCAGGCCTAGGGACCCTACCCGTGCATGAATTTTGTGCACCGGGCCTCTAGTTTATATGTATAAAAGGAAAAGATGGATTCCTAATTAACTTTAGAGGAGTTCTACTACTTCCTAAAGTCATACATTTCTGTCTTCCTTTTTTTATTTTATTTCCTGGCTACAAAATGAAACTGTCTTGCTGAGAAGAAAATAAAGTAAAATAATAGTCCTTAAAACTTTTACCTTCATGCGTTTTTAGAAAATACTTTCTCAAAAATTTAGCAAGCCTGACACTGTAGGTGTCTCATCGCAGGGGTTCCAGGGCACCTGCAAAGATGAAAACTCGGCCCCAGCTTCCACATAAGAGCAACACTGTATGGAGACCTGCTCCCTCCCGCTGGGGCCAGCAAGCGCTGCCCGGGGCTAATTCTGCTTTGTCTTCAACTCCAATGGGCGTGCTGGGCTGTGCATCTGACGCGTGGTTAGCCCAGCAGGGAAGCCCATTGGGAAATAATCATAGGTTCCAAGTACCCAAAAGAAAAGGGTATTTTGCAAAGAGAAACATTTTAACTTGAAAAATGTCGGACCAGAATTGGGGTGGAGAAGACACCACGAGGAGGGGGGAGCATTCACATGTGCTGTGGTCACCCATGAGCACTGCCCTCAGCTACGTCAGCCCTGACAACACCAGTCCTCGCTGAACATGAGTAGCCTCCTTGTGACGGGCAGGAATACAATGTTGGGGACCAGCCAGGAGGTAAGAAATGTTCATCCTGCTCTGTCAGCCGTGATTGCTTCGTTCTGATTAAAGGAGGCACATGCTAACCTGGCTGGGAGGTGCATGTGGACCTGGGCGCTCACCTGGAAATGCGGCCCATCCTCCCTGTATGGGAGCTGCCTCTGATCATGAAAAGTTGAACAACCTTGTTGCAGGAACCAGAGCTGCCAGCCCTTTGAAGGCCCCCAGCCTTCGCATACCCACAGGCCTTTGCAAATCTCCAGCCCCCATTACCTGTGAACTGCCCACTTGGCATTCCCTTTTGCCTACTTCCCCTGTAATCTTTGTCCTTCTACCCGACATAAGCAGCTGGCTTATAGTGGGGGGCAGAGCAGATTTTTATGGATGATCTGCTCTCCCACGCTGCCCGCAGGATTGGAATAAACGCGCATGTGATTCAACCCTGTCTCTGCTTGATTGACAGGCAGCCCAGACCCACTGATTGTCCGTTTACACTTTTACATACGATGGAAGCAAGACAGGAAGGGCTAAGGTAACGGCTCTGAGGTCTTAGGCCCTGTATAGTGAGTCTGACTTCGGGGGGCTCGGTCTGAGCTACCCCTAATTCTGACAGCGTCTCCGCCAGAGGAGTCCATGGTGGCCTAAAAGAACTCACACAGTGAAAACAAACACACACAGATTTTAAAAGCAATTAAAAGTTTAAAAATAATGCATTTTTTTGTTAAAATATGAACTTAATTAAAATTTAAATAATGCAAAATATCCAAACCTGTCTTTTAATTTAAATGTATGATTGTTGGTCAGCCTGTACATTTCAGGAAGTTGCCATTTATTTTTTTAAATATTTTTTTTATTGACTTTAGAGAGGAAGGAAGAGGGAGAGGGAGAGAGATAGAAACATCGATGATGAGAGAACCACTGATCAGCTGCCTCCTGCATGACCCACACTGGGAATCCAGCCTGCTACCCGGGCCTGTGCCCTGACTGGGAACTGAACCCTGACCTCCTGGTTCATAGGTCGACGCTCAACCACTGGGCCAGGCAGGAAGATGCCATTGTCAATAGTGCTGACAGAGGCTACACAAATGCTACAGTGAAGCCACACTGAGCTGAGGGGCAGAGAGGGCGGGAGGGGCTCCCTCAGTGTGCATGGCTGCACCGTGAGGTGGACCGGCCTCAAGCAGCGGCCTGTGCCCAGCGCACTCGCCTGGGAGCCTTTACGAGTGAAGAGACGGCGCTCAGACACAGAGAGAGTCACGAGCACATGCGAACTGAGGACTCCGGGCACTATGTTCTCCGCCACGTCTCTGTTTTTCCAATTAATGACGTTTTAGAGCAGGGGTGGGCAAACTTTTTGACTCGAGGGCCACAATGGGTTCTTAAACTGGACCGGAGGGCCGGAACAAAAGCATGGATGGAGTGTTTGTGTGAACTAATATAAATTCAAAGTAAACATCATTACATAAAAGGGTACGGTCTTTTTTTTTTTAGTTTTATTCATTTCAAACGGGCCGGATCCGGCCTGCGGGCCGTAGTTTGCCCACGGCTGTTTTAGAAACTAAATCTTCCTTAGAAACCTTTCCTCCTTCTCTCTGTCTCTCTCTCTCTCAAAAGTCACTGTTAGGATTCTAGCTTTTATTGCAT